AGAGCATTTGTGACCAGCCCAGAGTTACCCAGTGAGCTTCATGGCTGAGTGGAGGCTAGAACCTGGACATTCCAGGTCCTCATTCTGAATTCTAACTCCCACAGCACACTTTATAAATATATTCGTGGAGAAGACTATTGATGGCTATTAGCCATGATGGCTGTCTATATATTATTCTCAGTTAAGTCTTGCATTACACATTGGTATAGCTGGGCTATTGTTCAGAGACCAGCAGCTCTAAAGGGCCCGGCCTTTCCTCTGCAGCAGCTGCCACCACAGCCAGATCACTGCAGCTGTTCCCCACTTCTTCCTGCCCTCATTCTATTGATGGCTATTAGCCATGATGGCAAAAGGAAGCATTACAGGCAGCAGCCAGATGGATGACCCAGTGTCAATATCTGGGCTGCTCTGTCTCAGCCAGAATCAGAACAACCACCATTACCGTATTCACAGGATTGGTCCCAAGGCCTGCTGGAGCTCTCATTCTACTGAGGAGCATCAGCTGGGGGCCCTAGAGGATGAGCTATAAAAGAGTAAGCTCTTCCTTCCAGAACTGGCCTCAGTGACACAACCCTTCCTGCTTCCCTTAAGCAGCACAGACCCATCACAATGCAGGTGTGTCTGCTAGCTGTGGTTTAGCACCTTGCTAAATCTGGCTCCTGTATCCTGCTGTGTTATGTCTCCTTCCCAGTTACCCTATTGAAGGTACCTGCACCTCTGTTTGTACTCCTGGTTCTTGACCCTTGGCTTGTTCTTGACTGCCGCCTTGTTCTGCCCTGATGCATTCTTCTGGTTCCTGACCTCAGCCTGTACAATGACTATGAATTTATTTATTTATTTATTTATTTAAAACATTTCTATGCCGCCCCATTCACCGAAGCCCCGGGGCGGCTCACAACATAAAATTAAAATATAATACTTTCAGAATATACAACAAATTAAATTGAATTGGACTTTCCATTACTCCCTGCTTTTGGACTCTATCCTTCCTGAAGTTCTGCTGTCCGTCCTGGTGCCTCTGTTGCTCTTGTCTTGTTTTGTCTCTGGCCACCCATGCCCAGCCATAGGTTCTGACACCCTGCAGCTGCTGCTCCCATGCTGCATCATTTTGAAGAAGGACCTTTTAGCTTGAGTTTCTGAGAAGCAGTGAGCTGAACCAATGACACCCTCCCTGCTTTCCCCAGAGGAAAGACAATGATGGCAGCACCTTGCCTTCCAGATTGCATTGATCACGAACATTCAGAATCGTCCCTGTTTAGAAAATTGCAAAGAATTGAACTAATAACACAATAACAAGTGCTTGTCTCTAGCTGAGATCCCAAACATTTTCAAAAGTTCTCCACTGTCCCTGAAATGGACTACTTTGTTTCTAGTTTTTAAATATGTGCATTCTGTTTTAGCTCTTCATGTCTGCTTCCTTTTCAGTGGTAGGTTAATATGGACCCAAAATTCCATCATGAATCTTATATCTACCTAGTGAAAAAATTGGATGAATGTTTTGAATATTTATTTGTTGAATTGAATGATCATCTGCACTTGAATGGCATTCTACGATTTCTTAAAAACCATAGAACACCAGGTGGTATATTATACTGCAAGCTTCTTCAAAACAGCAGTTATTTGCATAATGTTTTTAAGTCATCTTTTATATTTTGGATGTCCACTCCAGCTGATAAATTTTCATTCAAATGTTCCTGTCCGATCATGCATGTCATGAATTGTTTGAGAACTGCCGTACAGAACAGACTAAAGAAACAATAGATGATGTCTGAGGGGTCATAGCATATTTTGGTCTGCAGATCCAAGTCTGGAGGAAGTGGTTTAATGTCAGAACTGGGAATCACATCTCAGTCCCTGTAATCCTCAAGACTGGTGTGGAAGGAGCTGCCCCAGCCGCTTGCTGAGGTTTGGAAAATGAGTTGGTAGTGGAGGAGACTAGGGAGCCAGAGTACAAGTGATTCAGCTGCCTTCTCTTCCACCCTGGAACATTTGCCTGGACAGTAAAGGTTGCATTTGCTCATCAGCAAAGATAGTGCAGAGCAGCAGCAGAGGGAGGCGAAGATCACGTCAGTTGCTCCCCCTACCCAGTGTAACATGAGCATAAGCCTCCATACAGGGGCTCATAATCAGTGGATTGCGTCCTATGACACTAACTAATGTCTTCTTTCCAGACCAGGAAAGAACCTGGGTCTATATTACCCAAGATAAGGTATTCTGTGACTACTGTCTCAAAGCTTGTTGTAGTTCTGTCCTGACCTTTATTCATGGAAAGGTAGAATATGTTTGGAATACAGTGTGAAAAGGAGTTCCAGGACTCTAACATGCTTTTATTAGGGGTCAGGCAAAATGTGCTAATCATCCATTAGGATCTGAAGCTTGACTTCTTGTTCTTGTGTTAGCACATATAGCTTCGATTCAGATTAGGGTCACAACATTTTGTAAGGGGACAGTTAAACCTTCCCTCCAATTTCCCCACAGAACTCTATACCTACCCTGTGGAAGGAGAGGGTAAAATAATTCCTCAGGATCAAAATTGTGTTCACACTTGCTTATATGATATTAATAATGATAGACATATAATGAAGCCACTGAAGGGTGCAGAATTATAACAGCTTTAACAGAAGTTTAGTTAAAATAAACAATGAGATCAGGAAAGGAAACACCAGCTCCAAGAGGAACAGACTGCTTTTTTCTCTGATCCAGCAATTATCTGATATTCAGCAAAATCAATATGAATCTAATTCAGCAAGATACGAGATGTTTGGTTTTGGGGGTGGGAGGTGCGTAGCATAATCCACCCCACACACACACACGCACACTTGTGCATCCCTCTTTTTGAGTTTTTCTATTGCCCAGTCAAGGGGAAAAAGTTTTACTGGTCAGCATAGAAAGGACTTGCTTAGCAGTTAACTAATTGTAAAAATCAGTCTGTTTTTTTTAACTGGTTGCTGGGTTGGTTTTTCTGTCCAGGAACCCTGAAAAGTCCTTGTGCTGACTGGCACATATGTATAGAGTCAGAATTAAACCTGACTTACAGCTGAGGTGGACTTCCAGCCAGCTAAGAGTACCATGCACAGTAGTGTTTCTATTCCTCCAGGGCTGTTGTCATCCTCTGCCATCAAGTATTCAAAATATGATTGTGAGTACAGTGAATGATTTAAAAGACTACAGGTTAACATAGGTTAGATTTTATCTTCAGATCGCTTTATCTCCTCATTTCACTTTTTAGCAGTAAGCACCCAATCCTGATCTATTACCACAATAACTACAAAATAAACAAACCTTTCATCTTACCACCAGCAAACAAAAAAGCTTTATTGTTCACTGGGTAGACACCACAACTAAAACTGAAACTGAAAAGCAGCCCAAACGAAAGTCCAAAAGATGGATTATAACTTCATAATAACAAAGTTGCAATATTTAACATTTCAAAGGACCTGTTATTATGCAGAATGTTCTTTTCAGGATTGTTCACATGATAATAGTGTGTCTGAGATCATGAAGAACCCATTATCAGTCAGGGAATGTCTGGAGTAAGCAAATTGTGGGGGGATGTTCCCCATGAAGGCTGTGTGTGTGTGTGTGTGTGTGTGTGTGTGTGTGTGTGTGTGTGTTCACCCTGCCTTATTCACTATTGTTTCAAAAGGTCTTACTCTAAATTTGTTCCCATCCTTAAAACAAGCTGTTATTCTTTAAATGAAGGCTCACCTTATCAGTCCTGCCACAAATTAAAAATGCTTTTTTCCCCAAAACAAATGTAGAGAGCAAAACGGGGTGACTCAGGATTTCTTCATTGGAAGCAAACGTGGAAAAGGCAGCAGAGCATCATTCCCCTGGCTTCCACTGTTGCCAGACTCTTCTCTCAAGGGAAACGGGCTCTGTGTCTTGAGTCAGTGATGGGCCCTCACCAGGCTGTGGACCTCAATACCTGCATTGCTGATCCTCAGCCTCACGTGGCATCTGCAGCTTGTCGACAGAGAGCTGTGATGGAATAGGGCAGACCGCGGACGCCCAGTTGTGTTCTGGTCTTCAAGGTCTCTGTGGTCCTCCTGAGGCTGGCCCAATCCCTGGTTGGCCTCAGATGACAGCACACTTTGCCTGGCGAGGAGAGGCACTAGATGCCACTGCCTCCTTTGCCAGGAATAGGATGCTTTTGCAGCACAAGCCCCGCAGGATCAGGCACCGCTTGCGCCCTGTTTACTTGGGGAGAAACAATTTTCTGGCACAGTAGCTTCACGCATAGCAGGGATCCTTCATCCGCAAGATGGATGGGCTGTCAGTCACTGAAGACCTTTGGATGTTGTTAGTGAAACAACATGATTGATTCCGTATGCAACATCTACTCTACTTAAGGGAATCCTTGGCAACATCGCAAGAATTAGGGTGTGCTGCCTATCACCATAGATTTACTTTGGCAGAAACTTGCACAGTACTTGGCTGCAACATCTTCTGGCTGATGCTGTAAATCTCACACATGCTTGAGCATTAAAATTGAGCTAATGGTAGTTTGAAAATGTTGCCAAGCTCAATATTTTCGTTAAAGTCCAGTTCATATCACTCAGAGGATATGTCTTCAGAATGCTTATGCCATGTTATCTCTAAATGAAGAGTTTGCCACAAGTATGAGCTAAGGGATTCCTGTGTTTCCTCTGCAAGCCTCCATAAAAATTTAAAGGAGGTCCAGGAATGAAGTAAAAGCCATTTCATTAAATACACAGTGCTGTCTCACTGTGTCAAAACAGATGCAGCATTCTACGGCACTGTCAAACGCTGTACCTTGTCAATCTTTTACTGCCAAGCTTCAGGTACATGAAGAGATTGTGCTGCTTGTCACTGTAATCCTAAAAGCACTTTTCAGTAAGTGCTGTGCCAACTTTGGCTTGAGTCTGCTCACTGCGTTGCAGCTGAACTCCCCTTTGCAGTCCTTACTCTGTTCTGCGTGCCGATAGCTTCTCAAGCTCCAGTCTTGACTTCTCTCTCTCTCTCTCTCTTATTTGCAGGAGAGCTGCTCCCTCTGCTGAATTTTCTGTGGACAGAACACGCCATCTGATGTCTTTTCTTACCATGCTAGGCCCCAGCCCTGACTGGAATGTGGGCCTTTCCGCTGAAGACCTGTGTACCAAAGACTGCGGATGGGTCCAGAAGGTCATTCAGGATCTGATCCCATGGGATGCTGGCACTGACAGTGGAGTTACCTATGAGGTATCTGATACGAGCAGACCTAGAATAAGTGCTGTCTTATATGGCTGAATCATGCAAAGGCTTGTGGGAGATGCTCACCAAGGGGACTTGTTAAATGGTGGGACTTAAATGAAGTCATGAGCACGTAAGACCATAAATAAAATGCCCATGTCTGTGGTTTTGAGTGGATGTTGTAGAACTCAGTCAGAAGAACAGAAAGTGCGTTGACAGGTGTGTCCCCCCTGCCCCCCGCAGAACAATTTTGGACATGATGCCATTGTGTATACTGAATAGCGTATTTAATCTTGGCTGATCCTTGTTCATTATTAGCCAGTGGAGACAGATATGGGACACAAATTAAACATCTGGTTCTAAAAGCCCAATCTGTGAAATTCATATTGTCTGAATATATGTAGGAGCCACTCAGATTTCACCTAAAGTAAAATTTGAAGGTTCTTCTTAAGGCAAATACTAGGGAAGCACCAAAATGAACAAACAAAATTTTAAACACTGAATAGATTTCTCATGATTCTGCACCCATCTCTACTTGGGTCCTACAAGTTAATGTAGGCTATAACTCTTCATTAGCAGTGTTGTCAGTCACCTTTCATGCTGTGGAGATCTCTTTGGGGGACTAATGAAGAAAGTCTCTTGTACTTATCAAAGGTGAAAAGTCCCGGGAATAGAGCTGCCTCTAAAATGCCCTCACAACAAATCGTAACGCAAATGTGGGAGATCCTGCTTGGGAATGTATCCAAGAAATATCAGGCTAAATAGACATGATTTTGCTATGACCTGTAATGTTACTCAGCATCTTGCTCTTGTTCTCGTTGTTTTACACATCCTAGTTATGGCCTCATGCACAGCAATTTGAATGTCTGCATCCTTTCTCTACCTTTGTACTTAAGAACGTTTAAGCATACTGTTTCTGATTTTGTGCACATGGCAAGGAATTGTTTTCCAGATTAAAACTTCAGACAGCTGTGCAGCCCCAGAGGTTGTGCCTGTGGAATCCTGCCATGCAACACACATTTTTAGCCAGTCCTTCCCCCAAAGAACTCAGGGTCCAACCTCCCCCACTGTCCAAACAGCAACCCTGTAAGTTGGGTTGGACTGATCAATGATGGGCTGAAAGAACATTGAGCACAGGACTACACCCAACACACCCCACTAGCTTTAGCTACTTCCATGAGACTAGTTTAGTTCTGTAGAACGAAGGACATCCCTTAAATTGGGACGTAGTCGGCAAGCAGGTGATCAAAATGCTAATGTGAATCTGTTTGAAACCAGTTTTGGAGTGGCTATTCAGCTTAGCAGACTTCTATTACATGGAATTATATCTTTTATATGTATATAGCATACATATGTCCCTTAAGATAAGCTGCGGTTACGATATGTAATGGCTGAGGCCTGCAAGGCTGTGAAAGACAAGACAAATAGACACCCTTCTCAGAAATGACTAGTTGATGCACTGATAATCTGTGTCAGTTGCCAGAACAGTATGAATGGACCCTTAGTGAATGGGTGCAGAACCTCTGGCCCAGGGGCCAAATCTCACCCTTCTGGAGCCCCAATCTGACCCTCTTGCCTTCCCAGAGGGTTTCATCCTCTTCCTCTAATCCAAAATCTATTGGTCATTTCCTTACTTTGGGGCATTTTTTCCTCACCCTGAAAGTCTGAGATGCTTCCCAGAGAGCTTCTTTACAGGCATTAAGAGATTTAAGCTCCATTTTGCTGGTATTTTTGCCCTTTTTCTTTTTGTCTTTGGCCTGACCCACCACTGCAAGTACTTCTCCAAAATGGAATTCAGTCTCTGAGGCAAAAGAGGTTCGCAGCCCTGTCTTAAAGGGAATTATGTTGTTCATCTTCCTTCATTGCAGGTTATTAGACTAATATAAGCATTGTTGTATTTCTTTGTTTGAGTTCCACTGGCTTGATCTTGCAGATTGAGCGTAGCCTTCACGGATGCGGCTGTGGTTGTTGTGGTCATTTCCAGACACAACCCCTAGCCCTACTTAGCTGGCATCAGGTTCGATGGCTCCTCTTTGCCTCTAAAGCCTACCAGGGTCCAGAATGCACTTGCTTCCCTGGGCTCCATGCCTTTTCTAATGGATGCGCCCTTTGTCCATAGCTATTAAGCCACATCGAGTGTAGCAAGCTGCCACTGCTGCTGTTCTTCCAGCCATGTCAGCCACTCCCTTAATACAGGAGCTCATGTGGTCAGTCTTGGTATCTGGGGAGAAAGGAAATGCAGCCCTTTAATAGAAGCAGTATATTAACATTATATAAGGCAAGGAATATCCCCTGAGCAGCCTTGATATAATAACTTTGTTGTAACCAGAGGATCAATAAATTGTAATTAGACATTGGGCTGGCCCTTGAGGGGAAAGAGAGAAAGCTGAATCTCCCATCAAAACTATTGCCTATAAATTTATGTCAGGAGTTTCTTGTATACTATTTCTTTGAATAGTCTCTGGGAGAATATTCGCACTGTGCCCTATCGTTGGGGTTGGGGGAGAAGAGGTGCCTCGTTTGCGTCTTTGAAGCCATTTGCTCACTATGGAAAAAGGGAAGGCAACATTGGAAGCATACCTCTGCAATATTGAATAAATAAAGTGGGAGTTGTGGCAGAGATAGACCCTAACAGGTGTATCCAAACTGCAACAAATTCTACAGGATGATTTGAAGGTTGCCCCTTTCAAAAAGTGTCTTCTTTTAACAGTTAATAACCTCACCAAGCAGTTAAAAATCCCAGCTCTTGCCATATACTTGAAAATGAGGGCCGAAATGCCCCAGGAGTAATGGGACAAGATGACATCCTATCTCTCCAGGGACAATATTTGGAAAAAAAAAAAAAAGGCTGCTCCGGTGGAACATCTTTTCCTGTACAATTTGCCTTGAGGGACATTGTCATGTTCTCCCTCTCCCAAAGGTACTCGCAGCCCTATTTTCAATCTGTAGGTCTGCAGCTGTGATTTCTAGCCACTTACAACAGCTATTGCTTCTTAGAAAAGAAGTCTTTTATTAGTATTATTATTCCATACATATTGTAGTTGCTGGTTCAGAGCAATGATATTTAGTACCAGACTGACAGGCTGTCAAAGCTTTAAATAGAGAAAAGGTTAAATATGCAATGTCTTCCTTGTCTTCCACCCATGATAAAAACAAGACTTTGCTGATTTTCTTTTTCTAAATAAAGTAGATATGATTTTTTTGTTTAATATGCTAATGCCTAAAATGACACATTCAGACAATAATAAGTGATTCTAATACTCCATTGACAAAAGTGAGCCGTTTTGAAAGACAGTCTGATGAGCACGGATGGAAAATAATTTGTTCCAATTTATGAGAATCCATGCTGAGATCACCAGTGCCGTGTGCCATTTTCTACCCAGCAGCGTACAGATGATTTCCAGGATTCGCAACAGGAAAGCTGATATCTTACTGTTCAGTCATTGTATTGCTCTGTGTGGCCTTATCAAATTTCCTGCCTACTATCATTTTGTGCGGGTTGGTAGAATTATTGTTTTCTAAGAACTTTATTGCCTTCCCACTGGATGTTGTTTGATCATTTTTCCTGCTGCCCACTCCAGCACATTCTTTTCTCATTTCATAATTATCCCGTTTCCCTTTCAACCCTACTTCTTACCATAGGTCAACAGCTCCCAATTTAATATTCCCTGATATCTGTAATGGATTGTTTACTCTCTCGCCTAGTCATTAATAACAATGCCTGCAGAAACTTGGACCAGCACTACTTTCTAACCAGTAAATGGAAATGTTTGGAAACTCATTTAAAATTGAACAAACAGATGTGTTTTCTTAGCTTAACTTCCCGTACCATATCATACACTAAACAATTACATTCACAGTGGAATCTTACTGCTCACTAATAAAGCAGTTTGCTTCCACTGACTTCTGACACTAAAACAGAGATGCTATTAGGCAATTCCTAATGGCTCAGTTCTATGGATTAACTTCTTTTTATTTTTTTGTAGCAGGGTAACTTATCTCTTTGTTTAAGATTGATTAGCATTTGGCAGCCACCTGTACATTCTCAGATTGGATCTGCCTTAATGAGGCATATGTTGTAAACCTAGAGTTACTATAACAAGCCCATTTAAAGAATATAAAATGGAATGCTACCAAGAATACAGGCAAGCTACAGGAAAGATGTACATTCTAAAAACCAATGGGTAATACAGAAACCAACCTGGAGATTTGCTCTACAAAAGCAATCTACAGAATTAGATGTGAGGTTTCCAGCCTTGATCCAAGGGAAGGCAATGTTTCCATGTTTCAACGCTGGAACAAATTGCACCAAAATAGCCTAGGACACTGAAATATAATCATGGACCATTTAGTTTGCTCTGTTTCAAAGATAATTCTGAGTAATCTAAAACTTTTTTGAATAGTGGTGGAGAGGTTCTCTGTACCCCCTTTACCTAGTGCAGTCCACTTAAGGATTCAAGTTTGGGAGAAATATCCCAGAAGACATCAGTGGATGATTAAGTAATGCACTTACTCACACATGCAAGTCAACCTATGATGCTACTGCCAAAGCATAACAAAAAGACTGCACACAATTAAGGCTTCCCCAACTTGGTTCCATTCTGACATTTTGGATATAAAAGTCCCACCAGCCTCAGCCTGCATAGCTAATGGGCCAAATACTGGGAGGGCACCAAGCTGGGGAAGACTGGAGCAGAGACTCCGGTAATCTTTTGTTGCCCAAAGCCTACACTAGAGCAGTCTGGCCTGCTGCCACCTAGGTTGTGCTGAAGTACAGTTCTGATTTGTTGTTGTTGACTCCTCAGAGTATTTGGCTCTACTCGCTTATCATTCCACTTGCTTCTTGAAATATGACTCGGCTACAGTTCTGCTTTCTTCTGACAATTCAGCATGTGAGAGAGTTTTTAATGCTGGAGAATTGATAATACAATCAAAAGCAGCTGACCTGGAAATGCAGAACAATGTCTTCCTCCCCAGGGCAGCTTTATACTAGGCAGTTTGTATCTGATCAAGAAGTCAAAGCATTTGGGAAGATGCTTCCCTTAATTTCCTTCAGAAAGGAAAAAAATCTCTGCCTTGTTTAGTTTCTGTGCTTCTCCTGCCACCTGGCTGCTTGCTATAGTCATTCTCCAAAAGAGACTTTTCAGGCTGGGAATGCCAGACTTGGTGCTAAAATGGAATAGACGCTAACTGAAAGAAGCTTCTATTTGTAATGTAAATTCAGCAGAAGAGAATACAGTTTTCTTATCAACATGCATATGATATATTGTCACACCTTTAAAGTGTGGTACCTGTCCTGTGATGGTATGAGCTAGAACTTTATATAAATAGTGTATAATTTTCTTAGAGACCTGTCTGCATGTTATAAGTATGATTGATTGACTGATTTCTATGCTGCCAAAGAGCCAAAGTTCTTCAGATGATTCACACTAATTAAAACCATAAAATACAGCATTATAAAACATAATATAAAAAGTTTTAAACTATAGTAGTAAAGCAAAGATTTTTAAAATAACAGTGATAATATTTAAAAAAACAAAAACAAAAAGATTAAAATGCCTGGGAAAATAAGGTCTTTGTTTAGCACCAGAGTCATGTTAACTAATGACTAAGAAACTTCTAAATAAATACCAAGTCACTTAAATAAAGTCCTTGCCTATGAAGACCTTCCAAAGGAAGTGATGTGGGTCTTTTTGGTTGTGGCACTGCAGTTTGGAATGAGTTCCCCAAAGAAGCTCACTTGGTGCCTACTTTGTATTCTCTTCAGCACCAAGTAAAGATTTTTCCCCCCAGTATTTTATTTTTCTATTTTTTTTTATTAAAAGCTTTTCTATCCCGTCCTTTCACCAGAATTTGAGGTTAACCATTTAAACCTTTTAAATTTGTTTTAATATATTCCGTTTTATTATGTTCTGCTGGTATGCTTCTATGCTGAACTACGGCAATTGCTATTGCTGTTATGGTTTTGTTCTTTTAAGTGTGTGTGTGTGTGTTTCTAATTTTTGTTTAATTTGAAATTCTGTTAACTACCCAGAGAAACTTGGCTATTTGGCAGTGTAAAAATGGAATGAATGAATGAGATGCATAAATGAACAAGATTCTGTAATGGATCTGGATGCCTTGTAGACAAAAGGTCCCTGCTATGTATAAAATAAAATCGAATTTATTCTAGGTAGTCACCAAACTTTCATTCATTTCACAGGAATTCTGTATGTGTCCTGTTAGTCAATAGTGCCTTGAAATATAATGGAGGAATTAAATTTATGGCTGACATTGATTGTAAATTCAGGCATTAAAATCTGTTTGAAGGCACTGCTGAATCTGTATTTGTATTTGCATGAAGTTGGTGCATTTATTTGCGGTGGGAGATTTAAAGCTTCAAGGGATCCTGGCTAACTTTATGTTCCTGACATTTTCAGTAGCCACAAAGAAAAGGCAAGTCTCAAGGGGAGGGGGACTGAAGCTGGGTAGCAAATGAAACTCTTGCCATTCCATTTGAACTTTGCCTTTTATGTATCAAAGTGGACGGTAGAACCAACCTGAAAGGTGCCAAAAAATACAAAAATAAAGCACCGTGCAAGAATTTGCTTTAGTCTTTAGATCAGTCAGCCTGAAGTCATTGTGTAAACTAGAAATGATTTATGAGTACTGGCGGACAGAGTTCATGGGACACTAGCTAGGAGTCAACACGAAGTCTTCTGCAATATTCAATTTTATATTAAATATTTACTTTCCTGAATATGCATGAGAAAAGTTAATGAGAAATGTGCAAGTGTAAAGGAGGTGAGGATTTGAATAGACTAGCTTGTTTGTTTTCTGGATACATTGTTTTTTTATTTCATTGAATGGTGATAGAATCACACAAACCCTTTTGCACTAGTGTTTTGAAACAGCTAAATGCAGCAACATTTACTAAAAATGGAAGAATTCTTTGGGATGTTGTACTTATGTATTTATGTTCAAAGCTAACAGTGTAATCTGTTCTGGGGTGTGGAAAAAACAGATTAATATATTTATAGAATCCCATCGTGTTTTTTAATTGAATTTCTACTTCTTATAAAAGCATGTGCAGTAAGTTTCCTGTGTCTGCAATTTGGGGGTGGGGATGTTCTGGTATCATTGCAATCAAGTCAGTTTTAATACTTCATTGTATATTTTTGTAATATGATTAGATGTGTTTTATGTATATTTTGCCAGCTGCTGCCTTTTAGGAATGATGACCCAATATATAATGAATGCAAATAACTAAATAAATTACATGTTGACTATCTGGAGGCTAAACCATGGATATTTCACTATGCAGATAAGACGTAAACTGGGTATTTGAATGCACCCATTCTCTTTTAATGCATTCTTCATTATAATTTATTGTAAAGCTACGGTTGTATCTTGTTAAGTCCATTTTCCTGTAATTCTATTAGTATGCGGCTTGACATTAATCCCAAGGCCTGCTTGCTTCTCCATCCATGTTTATGAATCCCATATCCTCCTCCTAGAGGGCCACCAGAGTGCCTTCATGTATGGTACTCGCATGTCACAACAAGAGGTACAGCAGTTCCAGTAGACTCTGGTTCTTTGGGGATGGAGGTCCATCTCAGCACCATTCAGAGATACCCATTTGTAGTCTTCTCTGCTTGGAAACACTTCAGGATCTAATACTTTTATAAAAGAATGCTAGATTATAGGATTGTGCTATGAAGCATTTAGAGAGGAATACTAAGGTATGTGTCTCTTTTCCCCCTTTTGTTTTACTGTTAGTTGCTCAAAAGAAACATAGAACATAGAAACAGAGTGAGTCAAAGGGGCCTCCCAGACCATCTAGTCTGACCCCCAGCTGCAGCTGGCTCCACTCATGACATGCCTAGCATGTGCATGCCCAGCCTATCCTTGAACACCCTCACCGATGGGGCTTCAGCCACCTCCCACCACCCAAGAGAGTGCCCCAGGGACCATAGGACCACTGAAACCCTCCTGAGGTCAGCTTAGGTGCACCCATCTCAGAAGTGGTAGCTGGCAATCGACCTCCCTTCTTCTGCCTCCTTTCAACTAGAGCAGAAAGAACCAAAAAAGGGTCCATGGATGAGGAGGAAAGGGAATGTTGTGGTGCACAGGAAGTGGAGGAGACTGGAAAGGCCAGGATGCACGACACACTGGCCCTCTCTCAGTCTTCTCTCGTCCTTCTCCAAACCATTCTTACTATGTGGGCTGAAAAGCCATCTGGTGGAACTTACCAAAGCGAAAGATCAAGAAGCAAAGATCACTTCCCACCCTAACAACCTTAGTCCCTCAGAGCCCAGAAATCTCAAAGACTCTGAGTTTGAGTGACAAACAAAAGAGAAAAGATGGGAGAAGGACCTGCACTCTCTCTTCTTAGTTTCTTTCTGGGGTCATTAGTGATAAAATATGGTCAATGCATTTTTCAATTTAGTTCCAGAAGTTACCCTTAAAGTAGACTCACTGAAATAAATTAAGTTTCATGATGGACATGGTAAAATATCATCAATGTAACACTGAAATATTACAAATATACTATCAATAACTAATATATTTTCCGTTGAATTTTCATTATTCAGTGATGCCTCTTTTTTCCTTTTTTCTGTAGTCGCCCAACAAACCAACATTACCTCAAGAGAAGATAAGACCTCTCACCAGCTTAGACCATCCCCAGAGTCCTTTCTATGACCCAGAAGGAGGCTCCATTAAATCAGTAGCCAGAATTGTCATTGAACGGATTGCACGCAAGGTATCATATGAAATTACAATTGCAAATGGAATACCGGACTGGCAAATTTCATAATAAATCCAAGGCATGTTCCTCAGTTGGCCTTCACTGGGTTTTTCAACAGAAGTGTGAGAAACAACAGATTTCTGAATTTAACATCCAATGTGTCAGTAGAAATGTAGGAGCTCTCATCTCCATGGCTGAGATTCTAAAAGGTTGTAACACTCCCCCACTCAGAGCAAGTTTCCCCTTTTCGCATGAACTGCAATTAAGGGAGCATTGACAATAACCACATTGCGTTGCAGGAGCTTTCTAACCCTACATCTTCTGAACTCCCAGCAGGGGCCACTGGGCTACCGAAAGTTTATGTCTCAAAGAGTCCTCAACCCATGATAGATCAGTGATGAAACACTGGGCATAGCGAATAGCATGTGTGTCTAAGGAAGTCTGCTTTCCATTTCCTCCTTATGTGGGTGATTTCATGGCCCTGTCAGACCTTATGGGGAACGCATGGATGCCCCTGAGCCACATCTCAGCCACACGGGTGCTCTTTGCTTTCAAGTTGTCTCTGACTTAGGCAACCCAGTAAAAGAAATAGTATCATGCATTCAACATTTTCTTCACCTGGCCAGCATTTACTTTTGCTTTCAAAATTACCTTTTTGTTCACTGTATCTGACTCATATTTCTTAACTTCTCCGGAGAGAGCTTCAGCTCTTTGCACAATTCGAAAGAGAGACAAAGCACCTTTAAGGCCTTAGCCTTCTTTTATAATAGGGGTGGGTAACTTGTGGTGGCCCACCAGATGTTGTCCCATGAGCCCTAGGTTCTCTAGCCAATAGTGAAGGATGATGGGAATTGTAGTTCAACAACATCTGGGGGGGCTACATGCTCCCCATCACTTTTTTATTAGAATGTGTTATATTAGCCTTAGCCACATCAGACGCATTGATGTCCATGAATGCAGATCCTGTTGGTATATCTTCTACGGCTTGATTTTCGAGCCCAATACCCACAAGCGCATTATTCCTTCTGCTGATTTAAACCTTTGCAAATGTTTCTTTTCAGGGGGAACAGTGCAATATTGTTCCTGATAATGTGGATGACATTGTTGCTGATCTTGCGGCTGAAGCTCCAGAAGATGAAGGTACTTTTTAATTAGGTTCTACTTGCGTGAGTTTGTGTTTGGCTTCATCCTCCACTGCTGCTACTCTATATTTCATGCTGCCTGCATTGTTATTAGGACAGTATTAAAAGCAGGAGGGGAAAAAAACAATTTGCTTAGCCATTTGTGGCTGGAGTTGGCATCATTACTTAATAAACACCCACAGGGACAGTGCCAGCAGGCAGAGTTTTTGGAATTGAAAGCAGCACTCTCCTCATTTAGAAGAAGCCTAATCCCACTGACTTTATTATCCTGCACTGGGTTGGTCTTCATCAGGCTCTGGTATTTCTCTCATCTAACGGCTCTTCTTTATTAATGATTGTGTTTGGTCTATAAGGACAGGCTGCCCTTGCAAGCTCACACGTAGAATTCAAATGAGAAAAGGAATGGTGCAGCAAGTACATATGAACTAGTTTCTCAGATCAGCCTGTTTTGAGATGATGGAGCAGATTTTTAAAAGCAAGAGAGGTCACGTTGTTGTCCAGCTCTGAATTAAGAGCCGACGGAGAGCTCATTGCCTCGGTGTCACGGATGCCTTTGAGACTCTTACCCAGAATGTGAGCAGTTTCTGTGGATTCTTGTGCTTTGGCTCTGTTTGCTGAAATACGCTGTTGTGCAGTCTCATTACAGCTGGACAGTTTGCTTGAAGACCTACTTTTCAGAAGCACAGCTTGTGCAGCCAGTCACAGTTTATCCCGTCTGAGAACTGGGATGGATTTGGTGGCTGCCTGCGAATTCTTCCATGCTCCGAGTGTGGCAAACTTGTATGGATGTGTCTTCTTTTCTTTCTGAGCATCATATCTCTCATCCAGGGCTGAGAAGCTTGTGGCCTTCAGAGGTTTCCTTTCTGTCTTAATCAACATAGCCAGATAAGATCCAGAATTGTCCACCTTGTTTTAATTTGTGAGACTGAAATGTTTGGTGTGTACACCAACTAGCTACGCAAAGCCAAATCAAACAGGAAGGCTTTATGTTCATTTTTGCTGGAAGTTGTTCAGGCTTGAATACTTACATACATCATGGCTCTGAAAGTGCTTCTATTCGTAGGTTTCTATGAAGAATTGCACCCAACACAACCCCATGTGGGTGACAGAGCACAGTAGGTTGTCATATCATGTCATAACACTTCCTGCAAAGTGGCTTGTTTGAGGGCAACAAGCCACCCTGACAATCAACCCACACCTTGTTCCAGGGGTTATTATATCCACAGCACAGTTGTTGGATCATCCGCACCCAGACAACCAGCCCCATTGTGGGTACTGGGAATCAGACAGGGACAGCTTGGCAAAGAGCTAACCGCCCCCCCCCCCCACTTGCTGCTCTTGCCATGCGTGGCCTGGCCACCACCAGTGACAGCTGTCCCAGAAGCAGCCCAGCAGCACTTTGGGGCCACCATCACTGCCCCCTGCTGCAATCACAAGCCGGGCTTTTTTTTTTTTTAGTTCATTGAAAGTTTTTAATCGTTTACCTTATTTTCAGAGATCATGAGCAGCAGTTTCCAAGTTGACAGCCAGTGACAGGGGTTACTTTGAAGAGGAACTGGACAGGGTAGTTTAAGCAAGGAAAATTGTATACTTCCCTGCTCAAAGTAGCAGGTCTAGCTCAGCCCGAATTCCTGTTTTCAGAGACATCCCTACTTCTTACAGCTGTCAAAAGCAAGTGTTACACCCAGAGCCCCAGGAATGGAGGGAAAAGTTGGGGACCCTGTATTCATTGATTGGGAGGGCATTAAAGACACTGAGAATCTTGCTGCAAAGAAGCAATAAAGTCACATAACTCCTTTTTTGTAAACAAAGATTGGCTCTGGTTTGCTTTGATAGCCTTGCCTTTGACATCTGTCCTGTCAAAACAAAGTTTTAAAGACATATTTTCAGCCTCTCTGGGTCAATGTCCAGGTTGGTACCAGCTTCATCTGGCCAGGCTCCCTGCAGACATTGCATGCATCAGGGGTATAGTTTTGCAAAAAGTGGCCAATCCTTGACAGCTATCTAGAGAGCTGGTGGGCTCTCCCACACTAGAGACATTCACAGAGAAACTGGACGGCCATCTGAGTGGGATGGTGTAATGTGGTGTCCTGCAACAGCAGGGGGTTGGCCTCAATGGCCTTCATGGCCCTTTCCAACTCTACTATTCTGTGATTCTATGAATTCTTTCAATGTGCTACTCTGGCACTTTGAAGGGGCCGTCACTGGTTGTCAGTTCAATTACTGTTCAGGATATCTGAGTGGAGGGGAAGGATAAAGGAGGGCAAGACATAGTTAGAGAAAATGTACTTGAGATCACAGTGGGGTGGAAGGGAGGTTCTCTGGCAGAGTCCCCTGGGATACGCATGGCAGAACCAATAGAGAAGGGCATCTGTTGGGCACAACACGAGTTTATTCATTTTTATGTAATGCGCTTTCATTAGGCGAACTCACACAAGTTCCAGTGAAAATCATACAGCCATTCTAAAGCATCTGTAGACATTGGCAAATAGAGTGCCTATGCTAAGAAAGCGATTCCCACTCACAGAGCGTCACATGCAGATGCAAGAAGGTGCCGAGTGAGCTCAGCATGAAGGCTTTCTTCCGGGAGGAAAGACTTACTCCCTTAAAGACCGAGGGATTGAAGCCGCAGGGCTCCATGCCAGTGCATGAAGGGAGGGAGGCGGGACCCCAGCTGCCCACACCACAGTCTTCTTACCCCAGGCTGGGACATCACAGCTTTGATAAACTGGACAACATTCACAGGCACTGAAGACTGAGCTAGGAGGAGGCCTTTCATCTGTAACAAAGAGGGTATTTAGGGATGGTGATGGCACTTTCTGGAAACTGAATGTCATGGAGTTCTTCCATTAACGAAGGATGACCTTAATGACAAGTGTCAAGGCTGGAGTGTAATAATGGGAGCACTGTTTCAGGTCATTGAACAGGTGCCTTCCCAGGTAACACTCTTACTATCCAGCTACATTCATGTTTAGCTCAATTCTTACCCTCACCTTTTCTTTGGGGAATGCATTTTCGGAAGTCCCATAGAAACTGAATTGCCTGATCTTGTCTTACTTGGTCATGTCCACTCACAATCCCATTCCTGTGCACATCTCTCACCTTTACTGAAGCAGGAACAAAGATGCCTGGCTCATCCAGGTTGTCTCAAAGTGGAATCACTGTTGTTCATTTTGTAACATTGACCAAAAAGCAGATCTCCGTGGCTTATTGCGAGGGTGGGTTTGGGTAATGTGCAACCCCCTGATGTGTCTTCAGAACTGCAAACTGATGTGCCACAGAACATTCTTGATCTGTCTTTCAAATTTTCCATTTAAAACATGTTTGCGTGACATGGCAGTTAACTGGAAGACCGAGGACAGACATGTCTACCACACCATCTGGAGGAGCTTAATATAGGGATAGGTCATGACTCAGAGGCACAGTGCAGGCCACAGGGTAAATCAGCAACATCGAGCTAAATGATATTGACTAGCTTGCGTAGAAAAGAAAGTTGAAACTCTCTCTCTCTCTCTCTCTCTCTCTGCGCATGTGTGCACACGCACATGCACAAGAAGTGCAAATGCCAGTACTGTGTAAGCACCTTTGTGCATTATTGAGAAGTTTATGGTAATGAGCATTAAGAACAAAAAGTGATGCAAGCTGATGAAGAAAAAAGTATGGGCCAGAATGCATGCAGAGGAGCAGAGACCAGTTGGTGTCCTGTCATGGGTATCTGTTTGCCCTTTCCAAAGCCAAAAACCATCAGTGCTGTCCTGTAATGCCAGTCACTTGTTATGCACCAACCAGGATTCCTTTCGGTTTTCTTAGATGACACCCCAGAAACGTGCATCTATTCAAACTGGTCCCCATGGTCGGCCTGTAGCTCTTCCACGTGTGAGAAGGGCAAGCGGATGAGACAGAGAATGCTCAAAGCTCAGCTTGATCTCAGCGTGCCTTGTCCGGATACTCAGGACTTTCAGCCGTGCATGGGCCCCGGCTGTAGTGATGAAGGTAAGAGAGAGGAAGAGGGGCCGGGGAAGGCAATCGAGGGGTGAGCCCATTTCTCCACGCAAAACCAGCCAGGCCTAGGTGAGACTGAGGAACAAATGGACATTGTTTTTGGGGTGTTCTAGATGGCTCCACGTGCATGATGTCTGAGTGGATAACCTGGTCCCCCTGTAGTGTGTCCTGTGGCATGGGGATGCGATCGAGGGAGAGATACGTGAAGCAGTTCCCAGAGGATGGCTCCATGTGCAAAGTGCCCACGGAAGAAACGCAGAAATGCACTGTCAACGAGGAGTGCTGTAAGTGTGTGAACCGGCTTTGCCGCACTCATCAGCGCGGAAGCATTATGTGACGCCTCGGCCAAGCGAGGGCCCGTGGACTGATCCCCTCTCTGTGTGTTTTGACTAGCCCCCAGCAGCTGCCTGGTGACGGAATGGGGGGAGTGGGACGAGTGCAGTGCCAGCTGCGGGATGGGGATGAAGAAGAGGCACCGCATGATCAAGATGACCCCCGCCGACGGGTCCATGTGCAAAGCCGAGACCACGGAAGCAGAGAAATGCATGATGCCCGAGTGCCGTGAGTATCTGTGATGCCCCAGTGGCTGTGCAAGAAAGGGGCACACTCCCCCCTTTCCCCTACATTGCTATTTTTGCTCTTTTGCACAAGCATTAGTCCCGCTTCGTGGAAAGGATGCGTGCAAATGCATAACATAATCCATTGTTTGCTGGCTCTTCGGGGTGCTTGGGTTTTGTCAACAGTCTATTTACTTTATTCTTTTCAACACCAGGCTAAAACTTTTTTATTTTCCCAATGTTTTAAGATATGATTGTTTTAATTGGGGTTTTATTGTCAGTTGAATTTTTATTTTACATTTTGTACTGTTAAGCCATCCAGAGACTTGGGTACGGGATGGTCTAGAAAAGTTTTAAATCAATTAATTAAATAAATAAAATGGAACGCTTCATTAGATTTTTTAAATTATTATTTTCCGGGACAGGAAAACTTTCCCCTTTGCTTCTTTGCAAAGTCCTGCATTGAAAGAGCAAAAGTGTCCTAGTAACATCACGAAGCAAAGGAAGTAAATAAACAGTTAAATAGGAACGGGGTGGCGGGGGGAAATGAAAGGGCTGTGTTGCGCCTGCCCCTTTGCTGACTGCAGTGGTTTTGCGCTGGATGTGATTACGCTGCAGGATGCCCTCACAGCATCCCTGATGGATGGCCATCCACACTCCGCTTAAATAATTCCAGCACAGAAGAGCGCGCCCCCCCCATCCCCACTCCCCCAGTCATCTCTTCCAGTAATGAACAGCTCTTGCCATTTATTTTAACATTTAGTCAACATTTGCAGAGAACACATCCAAATCTCAGTGTTCCTCTATTTTGTTATCTTCTTTAAATGGCTTGCTTGAAGGAGTTGGACTATGGTGCGAATGCCTCAAGTCTGTAATTTCTTGCACAGAGATCTAGTTGTTCCTAATTTTCCTTTCTTGCTAGGACTGGATGTTTTTGCCAAAAGGAACATTCAGTAGCAAATACACACCTCAGGCATGTTCAGCTGACCACAGAATGAAACAATACCTGCTATACAGAGAATAGTTATTGCCACCTTTCTATCTGTTGGCTGGTACACATCCACCTATTCACAGGCCCATAATCCACTCCCTGGAGGAAACAACAGCTTGGTTTTGCATATAACATACAACATGCTTCATACAACATGGCCCAAAGACTTGAGCCGAACAAGAGCACAATGTATCATGTACCTGTATTAAGTGCACGTTATAAAATGTTACCTTAAGTGCTTAACATCAGAATATGTGCAGACAGGTACTAAAATGTATGTATAAAACAATCCTAAGGCTAGGGTTAATTAGCATGCTTCAAACCTCTCTAGCTACTCATTTTATCTGGCAGTACGTGTGATCCACTCCAGCACCCTTTACGTGTTACGCACTCAGCCATACCTCCGTCCAGTGTGATGTGTGCAAGAGTAGGCGATGCCCTGTAAAAGCAACGTGCAGCACCATCAAGCAGCGGGAAGATTGGCATATCTGTGCCGTAACCACCACCAGTGAATGCAAGCAGCTGCGCGCCAGCAGGCCCTGCCACTCTCCCAGGTTTACGGCTTTGGCACATCATGAAATGCGCTGCAGGAGACCCTTGAGGCTCAGGATGGGCTTTATGGAGTGTGAAAATCTCGTGGGCCTCATGCCTTCTGGCCAGCCAGGCCAGTGAACGTGTCGGTCATGTCTTTGCCCTCCCTTTCCCAACCGACTGTCTCTGCTCGTGTTTTCTTGGCTCCCTTCTCTCTTTCAGTATTTCTAAGAACCCTCCTTCCTAACTAGCATGTGTTCCGGTTTGCACCACACTGGCATTTCCTTGCCACACAGTCCCCTGCAACTAAATCCATTGGTCTGGCTCATTGCAGATCCCATTTTGATGCAAAGTTACCCGTAGCCCTGCTGTACTCCGTGGCAGAGCTCCTTAATATGAGGTCATTTGCTTCCTCCTCTAGGAGTGGGCAGCCTCAGACTCCCAGGGTGGAATCTGGTCCTCCCGAGGTCCCAGTCTGGCCCTGCAGAGTTTCTTTGCAGGCTAGAACACCTTCCCCTGGCCCAGCCCATTTCCCTCCCTACCCAGTGCTTGTGGTTTCCTGGCTTCAGGACAGCCCCACCTTTGAAAAGCGCTAAGCTACAATATGCCGGCAGGGAGGCAAATATGTTGCCTTTTTGGCCCCACCACCTTTTGCATTCACCCCACCCCACTGGAATGCACCCCCTAAGAGTTTCTCTGAAGGTGAATCTGGCCCTCAGGAGGAAAGCCTCCCCCGTCCCCACCCGGAGGCTTTCTGGCATCCCTGATATGCAGAGCAGGCATGCTCACTCGTCCGAGCAAGGAAGGGGCCTGGGGCTGCTCCTACGCTCACGGGCTTGCTTTCGCCTTCACGTGCCTCTTCGCCTTGCTCTGCTCTTGGCTGCCAAGAAGGACCTGTCGCCGGCAGCAGATGCTGGAAACAAGGCAAGGGGCGCGGGTACCAGGCTCTTGGGCCACGCGGCCAGTTCTCTGACCCAAAATGCTGCCATCGGTTGTGGTAGAGGTCGCTCAAGTAAAATGCAAAGGCCAGTCCAGCAGGTTCTTTGTCTTTCACCTCAGGCAGCAGAGTGGTGTGTGCTGGCCCTGACCTACACAGGTGGATTTCCTTTCTTATACCGGTGCATCGGACTGCTCCCTACCAGCCTCTGCAAATGGAAGTAAAAGTCCGTGGGGCAGGGGACAGCAGCATCTCGGGGCTAACCTGTGATGCAGAAGATCCTCGATCACACCTCTCGGTATCTTTTGCTTTACTTAAAGTTCCCTGAGCTAGATCAGGACCATGGTGCCAGAGAACAAGGTAGCCCTTTCCCTTTGCATGTTTCACCCATATAAATCTGCCCCCTGGAAATTGCCATTAGTCAAAAAAAGGGAGAAAGGCTAAGAAGCAGCATACCATACCGCAGGGAGTCATTAGCAGCCTGTGTGGGAGGGTGCAGTTCTGATCAGGAAATGAGTTGACTCTCTTCTCTCACAGCCCTGATTGAACTTGGGTGCTTTGAAGCACAGATACATTACAGGAGATCGGATCCCTCCAGCATTATGTAGCTTTCCTGTAACAACATGTAAGAAAGATGGAAGGATTCGTGGGAGGGAAGTGCCAGAAGGATAGCAGTTCAATGACCTGTCCTAGTTCATGGTGAATGCAGAAGAATCAGGAATCAACAGACATGGTGATTGTGGAAAGAATCACACACTTTCTGACTGAAATGGCTCATAAAGTAGCTCCCTTCTGTTCAAAGGTATACCTGCCAGCAGCACACAGAGTACTTTTGGCTGTGGGATTACTAGAGTTTGCACCTTGATCACCAAAATCCATTGGCGTCAACAAGCATTCTCCTTTACAGCACCAGTCTAGTCTCTGTCAAGGTTCTGTCCTTGCCCTGGATGACAGGCAACAATTTAAAACAGTTGCTAACATCTCAGCTTCTCCTCTTCACCTTGCGCTAGATACCATTCCCTGTATGCTGTCTCCCTGGTCTGAATGGAGCGACTGCAGTGTTACATGTGGGAAGGGGATGAGGACCCGGCAGAGGATGCTGAAATCCGCAGCAGAGCTTGGGGACTGCAACGAGGAGTTGGAACAAGTGGAGAAATGCATGCTGCCAGAGTGCCGTAAGTGTAGACCCCGGCGGCCCCTAACTTAGTGGCATTCCATCTGCTTCTACATACCGTTTGGTTAGCAGTGTGTTACTTCTGCTTCCCCATATAAACCTAATCCAGACCTGTTAGTCGGCTTATATCAACAGGGATATGGTATGCTGATAAACACAGCATCAAAAAGTTGAATTAGAACTCAAGGTTATGGAAGCCTAGCGATACAGGGCAGATCCCTGGAGGTGAAATGACAGAGAGAGAGAGAGAGATGCTTAATGCTTTGAACGGGTCATTTCTTCCAGGTGTGCAAGCTTCCCTTCCAAAGGCTCAGGCCTGGGTTCTGACCTTTGCACACAGAAGAGATGTGTACACAAAATGTGCCTCTGCCCAGTGCAGGCAAATCATCTCCCATTATGCCACAGCTTTCCCCTTCAGCAGAACCCTGGACTTGCTGGGGAGCATTTGCAGGGGTCTGGAGGAACTGGGGTGGGGAGGATGATTCTAAAACTGGGTTGCTCCCAGGGAAGGACCCCTGAAGATGACCTCAGGGTCTGAGTAGGTATGTATAGGTGATCCTTAGTGTAATCCTTCTAAGTCAGGGTCAAAATTACCTGGTCAAAGAATTTGCCAAATTTCAACCTTCTGCCTCATGCAGGTTCCCCACCCCCACCCCCCATGATCCAAAACATATCTGGGGTAACAACATGTCCCAACATTTGCATTAAAATAGTTTTGTGGGATACTTTTGTTATCCAAGCAAAGGCACAAAAGAAGGTTAACTACTGGCCATGTTGGTCTTTTTCGAAAGTCAAGATTTCTTCAGAAACCAGAATTAAAATCCATTAAGAGTAACCTTTTTAATGCGAGTTTAAAGTTTATAGGGCACAATATTGCTATGGAGAGTGAAGATCAATAGGTCGAGCATTACTACACAGGTTTTTTATTATGCATAACCTCCAGAAAGATTAAATCTTAAAGAACTTGTGTTTGCTGAAAGTGGGAAGTCATTCTTATCCTTGGGGAAATTGTCAGCTAAGTCCTTTTCTTGTGCAACATTTTCCTTGCCAGATACACTTTTGTCTGGGTTAACAAAAGGACCCCAGATGCTACTAAGGTTTCATTCCGAATGCAGGATACTCAATTTGGTGAAATAGCCTATGTCCAATAATAATATTTCTCATTCCTTCTGTGTAGCAATTGACTGTGAGTTAACAGAGTGGTCTCAGTGGTCAGAATGCAATAAGTCTTGTGGCAAAGGTCATATGATCAGGACAAGAATGATCAAAATGGAACCCCAGTTTGGAGGAGCTCTATGCCCAGAAACTGTACAACGCAAAAAATGCCGAGTAAGGAAATGCTTGAGAAACCCTAATATTGAGAAGAGGCGCTGGAAAGAGCCTCGTGAGAAAAGGAGAAGTGAACAACCCAAAGAAGATGTGGATGGTGAGCAATTCCCAGGTATGTGTTTAGGAGGACACGTTGCTGAAAACGTGTGTAACCTCATCGAGAAACAAATAGGTACATGACACAAGGCTACAATACTAGTGTTATAAGTTGCTTCTTGGGAACGGCTGCAGTGCAAAACACTTTGCATGAATTGGATGTGGTTCTGGATTATTCAGTAACTGTAGATGTTGAGTTCTAAGGGGCAATTTCGCTATAAATTGTTAATACCACCCCCTTTTAAGGTAACTAATGACCTTTCAGGTGATTACTGGTTTTATTTGGCCAGGGCGGCTTATTTTATACTGTATTGTTGTATTTTAATTTAATATTTATATTTTTAATTTATATTATAATTATTTTAACTTGATGATGTGAGCTGCCCCGAGGCTTCGGCGAATGGGGCAGCATAAAAATGTTTTAATAAATAAATAAATACTGACTGAAACCATAAAAGAGCAAATTTTAGAAAGAAAATACAAACAAGCCCCAGAAGCTATTTTTTAAAATATTAGCTTTGCACTATTTCCTGAAATATTAAGCGATGCACATTCCCAACTCTCAAGCCACTGTATTCACTTTTGATTACTCTCACCTGCCGGATAGAAGCGCTCCAGATTGTCGCATGCAAAACAGTCCAGTTTTGCATGTAACAATGCAAAGGTTGGACCTGGATGTCCATGTTGGGTGGGATGATGGTAACGCAGATGTAGCGGAAGTCCCGTTGTCATAGGCAGAGCTTGGTATTTAGACCCACTGGCACTGGGAGCCTCGGCAAGATGGTCCCCTAAAGAGTATCCAACTGGTTTTTGGTGGCTCTTGGGGATTTTCCTGCCACCTCATCAGGCAATTATTTTGAAGACTTGAATGACCTCTGAAATGGAAAAACATCCCATTTCTAGGGGGTTTCTAGGAAGAACCTAAAGTTCTGATCTATAAAGTCCTCAACAAAAAGGAACCTGGCTACCTGAGATACAGCCTTTGCCCATACAAGGGGCTTTCATTTCTTTTCTTTTTTTTTTTTTTTTTTTGGGGGGGTGCCATTGCTAGGGAGGCAATGGGTGGGGATGCCAGAGAGTTCAGGGAGCTCCTATTGGGGGCAGCAGGAAGGCCTCACCCTTTCAACTTGCCACTAGCAGGCAGAGTTTTTCATCAGGCAGACGTCTAGCATGTAAACTGGTCTATTTCTGAAGGATTTTTAAAAATTGCCTTCATTTATTTTTAAATAATCATGTTTCTACTTTTTAACATTATGTTCTAACTAAGATTTCTGTTTTTGCTCTGTATTTTCTTCTTGTTAGTCACCTTGAGTGCCATTTTTGGTGGAAACTCAGGATATAATTTAATAACAACAATGGTAATAATTCCTCTTGTCTCAAAATATTTCTCTTAGATGCCGTTCTTGAGAATAGATCCATTATCCATAGAACTATGGACTTTCTACAAGTACAAAATGCGTCCTACATAACATACAGTGTGACCTGCAATAGCTCCATTATTTCGACATCTAACGATGAGGTTTTAAATCATGAAATGCAACGTCTAAAGAAAACATAACTTTCAAAGAATCAAGCTATGTAAATAACTCTCTTTTCTGAACACTTCTTTAGGTTGTAAGATGAAGCCATGGACTGCTTGGTCAGAGTGCAGCAAACTGTGTGGAGGTGGAATTCAAGACAGGTTCATGACAGTCAAGAAGAGATTCAAAAGCACTCAGTTTACCAGTTGCAAAGACAAGAAGGAATTGAGAGCCTGCAATGTTCATCCTTGTTAGCAAAACTCGCGTCTTTCAAATAATGCACTCTGAGCTAAATGTAAAATCAACCTTGATTTGATTTTTTAAAAAAGATATAAATTGTGTATATTAGTCTTCATTTTTGCAGTGTGGTTTGCTTATTAGACTTGCTGGTGCAAGAGAGATATTTTATAAATATTTCCTCACAATCACACGCTGAGAGCCTCTCCTTGATGCTCCAGCTAGCCCTTAATGCATAAAACTAGTGAAATTGTGAAATCCTATACCTTTGAAATTATATACATCTCTGTGTGGAAAAGACCATAATCATAGAACTATTCCCTGTAAATACATGGGGTGCATGCATAAATGACATTGCAAACTTAAATGTTGACCAAGATCCAGTTTCAAAATACTCAAAGCAGTGCCTCTGTGATTACACAACTGTGCCAAGGAATTACTTCAATAATACTACAGGTGCATATTTATCTTTTACCATCACGGGTGTAAAAATTGTATTTATAGCAATCCTTTGACAAATTTCCTTTTTCCTTCATGAAAATATAAGGAAAACAAAAAATAAATCCACTTTCAAAAAGGAAAGCCAATTCCATAGATGGCTAGCAGGGATGGAAGATCTTCTGCCTGCAGGTCACCCATACAAATTAGCCAGTGGGTTGCATTTGAGAACACCTTTCAGACACTGTCGTAAAACTTTATGCAAAGTGGTATAGTGCAAGAAAACATACCCACTTTAGAGGTTTCTGGTGGATTTCAGAAGCTTCAGGGAAAACCATTGGCTTCAAAGAGTTACATAAATGTTGGATCCAGATTTAGTTATACTTAGAGTTGATTCACTGAAATCAACATAAGTTAGTCATGACTAACTCAAGTTCCATTGATTTCAGCAGATCTACTCTAGCTTGGACTAAATCTGATTCCAAAGCAATATAAATGCCACAACAGCAGGGGTGAGCTTGCCCAGTTCCAGAAAATCAATCCATTTTTCTGCCTAGAAGGAATAACATTGGCAGATTTTTCCAAGTCAGAAGTTATATTTGCATCTTCTAGACCCAATGCTTCCATTTCAGTTCTCCATCTCCTGGTAGAGATAGTCAGTTGCTCCCTGATTTGGCTCCCACAGCATCCATCCTATTTTCGGTTCTCATTTTCCTCTCAGATTTCAAGCTAAGCCTTCCATCTTAGCAATTATAGCTATAATATTTGCAGAAAATAGCCATCTTGTAGGAACAGACATGGTGGTGCTTTGTATTAAATAAGATAAAAAAATGCCATGGTTATTTGACAACAGATAGAAATGCAAAAGGTCGTAGCACCATTGAAAAGAGTATGGAGTTAAATTGTAGATCCTTAAAAGATACTTACAGATGGAGATAAAAGCCCCTGAATTCCTGTTTTCAAATGTGTCCCTGACCTTGTTGTATGTTGTTACAGAAAAGAATCCTTGATTTCATCCTGTATTATCTCTCTTAGAAAACCCTTAGTCAATAGCTGCAAGAGAAGCAATCTGGGTCATGGGTGAGAAAGTGGGCTCAATTTTTAACTGGAGGGCAAGAAGGATAATGCACTTCTTCATGTATCCAGAAAAACTTTGGGATCAACCAGTTGTGTTCACTGGGTTCATGATGCAAAAACCAGAAGAAAAGTTGAAGCCACTACCCATTTTTACGCTAATAGCCCTGAGTATATTTACTTGAATAATTTGTTTCTACCTTGACCTGCAAAGGCTTCAGAACAAAGGAAAGATCATATTAGGAGAAGGTCATAGAAAGATTGTAAGGCATAATCTACCAAATAAGTCTCACTGAATAAATAGGGGCCTAGATCACTAGCAGTGTTTTGATGTATTGCAGCAAATGACCCAAGTGATTATATGCTGTGCGTGCATTTCTGCACTGGGCCTGCCAGGTGAATGCATGACTGATGGGGGCCCTGTGGCGTAGTCATGCCACAGCAGCTCACTTTCTGAAAGGGCCGTGTCTGGCTGGGCTTCAGTGGGCTCAAGATGGATAGAGAAGGGTTCGGATATCTAAATGCAGTGCCATGTAAAATAGAGCCAGTTTAAAACTGTAATCAAGCCCTTCTTCCTCAGTCTCTTCAACTGCCCAGGCCAAACATCCTCTCCATTGTGTGGCCCTTTCCAAAAAGTGCTGGATATGATTGAAGGCTTCCAAAAACCACAATGGTATTGTGCCATGCCTTGGTTTCAGAGTGGAACAAATTTTTAGGCTGTACCATCAACCTATCAGAGAGGGGCCTCAAACCACTGCAGAGAAAGGACTGTTTTCCTCTTATTTCTACAGTCCCAAAAGAGTTCTCTTTGGCACAGGCCATTGGTTGGCAACAGTGTTGTCTCCCTTTCAGGGCTGTAGCAACAGCAGCACTCTGTCCTTGGCATCCTGTTGTAGGAGAAATCATCCTTTTTATACAAAAAGTTTTATACTGACTGCTGACTTTACAGAACTGCCTATGGGAACAATCACACAAAATCGGCTTTTCTGCCACCAGTGTTTCCAACATCATGTTTAATGCACTCAAGATGCCATTTTGAAAGATTCCATGATAGCATACAGATTGAAACATTATATCTAAGGCACATTCCCACACATATTTAGATAGAAAAAATGCTACATCTCCCAGCATTTCCTAGTCAAGGAAGTCGTAGAGCATTATTCTGTCCAAACATGCATAGCATTGTACCTGTGGTTTCATATCCATGAAACTTTTCTGAGAATGATTCCACTCCTAGATGGAATCTAGGTTCTTGATCACAGAAAATGTATGTGCTCGACTAACATCACTTTTCTGTGTATGATCTGATTAGGACTAAATGTGATTCAAAATCTGTTCTTTTGAACTGTCCTTGGTTCTTTCCTTAATATGACTGTGCTCACCAAATTAAAATCTAAGGAAGCAGACTCTTTGGGGTTTATTTGTTTTAGCTTTTTACCACATCCTCCCAAGATAGCACTATATTGCATGTCAGAGCTCTTCTTTGGATGTCATTCATTTATCTTAGGTTTTATCATGTTGAAGCCAAGATTCTCCACAGAAAATTCCCTGTTGTCCCCATAGATCGGCAGCTCTTTTCCCTAAGGACTGCTGGTGAACGTGGCCTCTTCTTCCATTTCACATACTCGCCTTCCAAGTTCCCATGATCTTCCTTCTCATGAGACACCATCCTTCCCAACTTCATAGCTATTTCAGATTGGTTTGTTGAAGGGCATGTTCTCTCTACATTTATTGCATAGCCCTGAAGGAGGGGATTGGCATGCATCATACTCATTTCCCATGAAAATCTGCCACAAGCGAAAGAAGACCAGAGCTCAAGGAAGATTCAGGAGTCCCTCAGGCTGCAAGGTGCTAGAAGGTACAGGGCAGGGATGTCTAGAAAGAATAAGCACACTTAGGAGTTTGCATTTTTCTATCCCAGGGTTTCGGATATTTAAGAAACAATTATGTTCTGCTTCAATAATTATGTGTTAACGCAGTCAAAAAGCGCATGAAATATGTATGCTCTGGAATATTTCTAGTTGCATTTAAGTGCAGAAAACAAACATGTTGTGAATTCTCTTATCTTGTGCTTGAATTAAATTTTAGTAATTGTCCAAGGAGAGTGTTGGCACCACCGAACTAAGGAAGAATGTTTAGCCTGGTGGCAATGGAGTTCATCAATCATGTTTTGCTATTTGCAATATTTGACTGACACCACAGTATGGCTTCCATTAATTTCTTTAATATCTAACAGCATTATGGATGGTTGATTGACCTTTCAAAGGATTGCTATCAGAGAGCATGAAATAACTTGCTGATGAAAACAATGAAGTTGTTCCATCCAACTCAATCAACTTATAACCCACTTGTCTGAGTTCACAGTGCCACAATTATTTTAATTCGATTAATCATCATCATCATCATAATTGTAGTAGAAATCTAACAAAAAAGCGAAAGGAAAGCAGAAAGGCTCCAATCACTTTCAGTGGGTCTTTAGATTTCATAGAAACTTGCTCCATTTGACTTAATCACATCTGATACCAGCTAGACTGGCCCTGAAGGTTGATTTTTCTGTTAAGCAAACAACCCCAAACATGTTGTGGAATACATACAATTATTTTGTTCTTGCTGGAAACCTTAGTAATGTAACATTTGCTGCACATTATCAACAAAACACACTTGTTATCTTACACAATAATTCATGCCTGTTGCACACTCTGAACCAAAAGCACAGGTATAGCTCTAGGAATTTTATACACTTAACATTTATTAACATTCCATGTATTTTCTTTTTTCTTCTTCTTCTTTCTACATAATCTGTAGAAACTTTACAAGCAATGAAACAGAAACGTTAGGGAGCTTCTATGTACAGTAGGTTTTAATAAAAGCAACTTGGTTTTTTTAAAAAACAAAAAGCACCCTTCTTTGTTTTTAGGTTTTCTTTGTTATTTTTTGGTTCAATATGGAATTTCTGAGAAAGCTGTCATGGATATATTTCTTACCAAAGTCTTGTGTAGATGTTTTGTATGTAGTTGTCTGGCTAACACATTATTATTTTGGAATAAAGACATCTTTACTATGAAAACAACATCGCTCATGTGTCTCAGACTTATCAATATAGCAGGCCCTAAAATAAACCATACCAGCATTTTCGATGAACTTTTCTACGTAAAGCGTTTATATCACACTTGTGTTTCCTAACTCACAGTAGTGCCTTAGTAGGGCATCTCCTGTGTGTGGGTATTTGATGGAATGGAAGATGGAATGCTAGAGCAGTTGTGAAATTCTACTATGCCACAGCACCACCTAGGAGTTAAGATACAGGACAAATAGGAGGTGGAGAAGGGGAAAATGGGAAGAAACACATGTGTAGAAGACCAAGTCTCAGTCCCACAAGAAAAACAGAATCAGGAGCTGCGGTAAAATGGGCTAAAAGCCTCATTTGAAGAAGTCCAGCATGAATATATCTGGCTTAACCCTCCGGAAATGTACTCCTCTTGCTTGCTTCCATCTTTGTCTCTAAGGCCACCACTAGTGTTCCCCAGGGCCACTTGGAAATGTGTAAATGTCTGTATTTTTAAACACATGTCAGAGACTGTAAAGTTAAGCACTTAGATCCATAGAGCCAGGGCCAGAGTATATCCTCTGAGCAGCGTTCTTTCTTATTCATTTATTCAAGCATATATTCCGTCCTCCCGCGTCCTTCCTTTCTTCCTCTAATGTGTTCATCCACAAAGAGAGGGGGCATCTTCACCCATTTTCCCCTTCCCATGCAGACACAAGCACAACTTTTCCTGTTGTTCCAGAGGCTGCCGGGACCCCGAAGGGCTATGAGAATGGTTTATAAATGTAAAAATAAATTAAATAAACCCTCCAGAATAGATGTTCAAAGGACAGAAAGGGTTGCAGTGGGAGGATTCTGCCAATTCCTCTGTCATTGCAGGAGCTTTTCAGAGACAGAAAAGGCCCTACTGTTCGCAGTAGGCAAAGCCTACTAATAATAGTATCTGCCAGAGAGAGAGAGAGAGAGAGCGAGAGACCTATCAGAAACAAAGAGGTGGCAACCATAACTAAACACTCCATAACTAAACACTAACACAGTCAAAAGCAGAAAGTTTCTGAAGAGGAAAGCATTCAATGATCCAGGCTTGGATGGAGAAATCTGTCCATTTCACTTTCTGCCACATTCCACTTAAAAACAAAACAGCAATACACACCCACACACTAGTTCTTTATGTCCTGAATATGGAAAAACTTTTGGAATGTTGGTCAATTCTTATGAACTGAACTGAAATTCTCACAAGACTGAGTTACGTGTTTAGGTTGCCCAGTGTTGCCTGGGAAGATCTCTGGGTCTCACTGCAATAGAAAAGCCAGTCCAAACCTCTGGATTATCTTCTCCCAGCAGTCTAATAGGAATCTAGATTTGCACCCGCCTTTCTAGATTTGGTCAGCAAACCTGGGAGCAAGTTCCACTGAACTCCATGGGACCCCCTCGTGATTAGGCATACATAACATGACAGTGTTAAGAGTTCCCGAAGCAGTTCAAAGATCTAAAACTTTGTGAAGGAAAGAGAGGGAAAGAGAAAGGACAAGTTCTGCCCTGTTAGCATAGTTATGATGGATACTCCATTCCTCTTTATCAGCTATGCCGTTTGCAAGTTCTTTCTTGTCTCTGTGTGGACACGGAAGAATCATCCTTAAGGAACAGCACACTTTCTGACTCTCCATCCTCATGTCCTGCAGTCATACTTTGCTCTCATAATCAGTGCTGAATTCCCTCCCACCAGTGCTCCTCCCAGGCTTTTGAGGAGTTGCGGGCAAGAGTTGCACCTCAATAGCACCCCTCCTTCAGTGAGTCTATCTCCTCTCCACCACGGTCGCCAGAGGCTATTGCTCCTTATTCTCTTTCTCATCATTGCTCCTCATCATTTGCTTGATGGGCAGAGAGGCTCTAAGCCCACAGGCAATGGCATCTAGTGCTCCTCACCACCACCACCACCACCACCACCACCACCACCCCTGTTGTCTGGGGCAGAGGAATAAATGGGCAAACAAGCAGGATGCTGTGGGGAAAAGGAGAAGCAACTCCAGGAGGCTTCTGACAGTGGGCCCTGATGCAATGGGGGTCCCAGCCATATTTTCTGAAGTTTGCCCTACCTGATGTTTCCCCGTATCTTCTCCTGATGTTTGCCTGCACTACTTGCAATGGTTGATGTTGACAAGAAGGTGGAAGGAGAATGGGCTTTCAGGTCAGAAAGCCAGACTTCTCGATAGAGGTGAGTCCCAGCACTACTTTTTCTCCAAATTAAGCACTGTTCCCAGGAAGACGCTGTCAGGAGTAACTTAAAAAGGCGAGATAAACCCTGTCTGTGTCACATGCAGTAGTGAAACATTTAGAAATAGTTAACACATGCTGATTTAATTCCCTTGACCTTTGATGAGCATTGAGATAATATCGTCACATTTCCACTTAGATAATTGCAAATGAAAAAATGTATGTTTTCATGTTAACAGTTTGGAAGAAGCAGCAGATAAAGACTTCAGCGGCAAAATGGGAAGAGTTTATGATCCTTATAAGGAGACATTCCAGCCACCTGTCATTCTGCACTCCACATGGGAACTTATTTAAGGCCATTATCGCTAGGCTTTCAATATCCGAATTTCACTTCCTGCCGTGTTTTGCACAATTCTGTGGGAAAGAAGCAATTACAGCCCACCTGAATGATATTTAGCATCCTCTTCTCCAATTTGCAAGAGACAGAACAGTTTGTGCCTGAACTGATGCATGGCATTAACTTCACAGTAGGCACTGGCAAGAGCGTTCTTTGCCCTGTAAGGCTGATGTCACAAGTCTTGCGTTGTTCATCAGGCCAAGAGGTCAAGAAGCAACACAACACCACAGGTCCAGCATCCGCACCAGCGCCGCTCATACCCCCAGTTCTTCAGTTCCATCAAGGAAGGCACTGCCATAGCCCAGAGGAAGAGCTCCGCAAGCCCAGTGCTCCAGCCACACCTCTAGACTCTGAGCTGAACCAGGCTCCCTGAGTGAGTCCTTCAAGCCCAGAGGCCCCATCTGCATGCACAGGGTAGCTTTTGAGAAAGGAATGGTACATGCCACTCAACACACATGAGAAGGGCCTTGCATAGCAAAGGGAGGACTCAGGTTGCTATTGCAATTTTGCTTCTGATGGATGCAGGAATTAGGCTGGAGCACAGATAAATGCTGCATGACTGGGGTGGGCCACCTCGTGCCTACAAATAGCCCTGCACCCCAGGACACCTTTCATGGCACCTGCCGAGGTGCTCGAATCCCTCCCCTGCCCCCAAGCACACGCACGTGTTTTTCTTGCAGAGAGAAGAAATGATAGATGCTTGGTGTGTTCATCAATGAGAGAGGGAGAGAATGGAGGGGTGGCTGGATAGATGGGTGAGTGCTCTCTCTCTCTCTCTGTGAGAGAGAGCGGGAGAGGGAGGGGGAGGGGGAGGGGGAGAGGGAGGGGGAGGGAGTGAGCAATAGGGCAACTAGCTTTGCCATGGTTGTGAAGAAGAGCAAATGTGTTTGCTTACTGTAAAACGGGATTCTATTTGCCAGTATGTGGAAAGGGCCCAGAGGCCATCTGTGCCTTGTACTCAGTTTTTTGAGCAGATTACTTCCCCCTTGTGACTAGCACACCAACCATGGTGGCCATTTTGTGGTGGCGCCCAGGACAGTTCCTCAAATCATCAAATTTGCCCACAGGTCCCAAAAGGCTCCCCATCCCTGCTACACTCCTGAAGGGCAGCCGAACTGGGCCTTTGCCACACACCCAGTGAAGCTGCCTATTTCCTGTCCCTGATCAGGCCCCCACTGGATGTCAGTACCCACCATGTTTCTCTTGCTGGTCAGAATTCATTTGGATTGTCTCAAGGGATGGAAGTGAACCCATGTTGTGTGTGCTGTCTTGCAGATATCCGAAGGCTGAATGTGACCAGGCAGCATTACCAGTCTGCCACTTTGTCTATGAAGCAGTTCAGAGCATTAACGCCCTTCTAGCTGGAATGCACAGGCCGAACATACCCCGTCCTCTGCATTGGCTGTAGCCCCCGCCGCACAAAGAGAGGCTCAGTGCACTAAGCTTGGTCAGTCATCTACAAAGAAAGGAACTCTGTGCTGGACTACATAGGCCTCAAGGCATCCCTCACTAGTCCTTAAGGGCTTGCTCAGAGAGTCTTCTCAAGGTAAAACAGAGCAAGGACCTCCGGGTTGAGAACACTTTCTCCTACTCTTTTGCTATTCCCATCACTGCAGGCAGACAAAACCAGACTCTGGGAGGGCAAGAATGTCCCATCGGTGCCTCTGGTCTGACATTTTCTTTCTATCATTACTGAGCAGCATGGGTTGCGATGTTTGACCCTGAAGCTGCTGCGAGTCTTACCTAGAAATAATCCCCTAAAGATGGATGACACCTGGGCAGATTTCAAGATCGCCGGACGGCATTCACGTAGCCAGATGTCTCTGTCTGTGCGATCCTGGTCACTCAGAGTGTCCCAGCAGGGCTACCCGTGTTTGCCCACCATCCTACCGTGTGCTCTCCAGAGGTGTCCATGAGTGCAGAATGCACACAAGAGGTCGCAATGAGCTGAAACCTGAGCACAGGGGGAAGTCTACTTACCTAGTGACTCTTTCAGACTCTCCCTCAATACATGGAGAACACTGGGGAAGAGCCAGCACATAACACAAGATGGCAGCCAAGAGGACGGGTGCAGCTGTGCTGTTTCTTGCCACTCAACTGAGATCACTTAGAGACACGTCAATAAAGCAATTGAGGACGCCACCTGGGGACCATGCCCTGCCCTGCAGCTGGTCTTCTTGCCATACCTAGAAAACCTGTGGTGTTCCACAAAAGGAATGTATGCATCAGATCCTGGCAGCAGTGGGACGAAGGAGTGTTGGCCTGTGAATTAGATGGCAACATATCTTGTTTGCTTTTGTTTGCTCATTTCAGTTCATTTGCATCCCACCATCCCATCCAAAGGAATGTTAGGCTAACAAGACTAAAACATCAATATAAAAATTTGCAAGTCAATATAATTAAAATGCAGACA